TTATCTACTATTTAATTAATTATTTAAATTTAATATAATAAATTATAATGTAAACCTACTCAATAACATGCGATAAAATACAATTTTAAAACATTTATAAATGAAGTTAAGTATAATAATAATAATAATAATTTTTTTTCTAGCTTTTACAAGCCATTAAGACTTTTTGGTGCTTTTAGCAGAGTCCTCCATCAGTCTCTGTTGTCTGGATCCTCAATTCTTGCCGTTTGAATTTATTTGAACTAAATCCATATTTACCCGTTATAGCTTACGCTGACATGGTCTTCCTTTGGGGCTTATTTGTTTTATTCAGTTTAAATACCAAACCTGTCTCATTAGACTGTCCTTATATCGCCATAATATGTCCGTACCATTGCAGTCTCTTTGAGACATGATATTTTTGGATATTTGTCTGGTTAAAGATTCTTTCAATATCTACACCAGTTCTCCTTTTTATAGTGCAATTTTAAATAATAATAATAATTATAATAAAATAAAACTGTCCATTTCCATTATATAAATGTGGGTTAAAAATTTAATACGTGTTTGCCTTTATCGAACATATTGGATTTTAAATTAAAAAATCCAAAGTATATGACGTTATAAAGAACATTTGGCGACAACCAAATACAAAAGTACCGTAGAACCTCGATTAACCGTCAGTCTCGGGACCAGAGCTTTGACGGATAATCGAAAAAACGGTTAAGCGAGCAACATAAATTTAAACATACATACATATTATTTATTTAAGCGAACGAACACAAGTGTAATATATAACCAGTGTTGGTAATAGATAACTAAATTTTTATCTAGATAAAGATAAAGATAAAGAATAAATATTTTATCTAGATAAAGATAATTAAACAACCATTTTATCTAGATAAAATTAAGATAAATTGTATAATATGAAAATTTATATTTTTCGCAATAGATGTTTAACTGTTCTATTTTCATAACCAACACAGCCACAGAATTCAATGTCCTTTTAATAGAGCATAGAGATCTGGATGAATAATAAATATAAAATAGGTATTAATATTAATTGTTGTATATAAGCGTAGAATAATATTCCATATTTTGACGGGAAACCACGTCATCTGCAGTATCATCATCTACCTCCTGAATTGTCCGTTTACTTGAACTTGCCTTCTTTATAATACATTTATCCATTTTGTGAATAAATATTAAACTAATTCAAAAAGCAATCACAGACCCTACCTAGTTTACAGCAATCATTAGGTACTCATTACTAAGCCCAACAATAAACAAATAATAATAACAAATAACCAAAAATAATTATAAATCTAGACATTTCATAATAATAGAAATTAAAATGTATAATATTGTAAGGAGTACTACCAACTTAAAGTACCTTCAAACTTCCAGCTGCCACAACATTCGTAAACGTTAGAAATTTGGTCTTGTTTCTGTGTTTGTAGTATGAACAAAAATATATAAAATAATTTAACATAATATTATTTTATCTCAACCATTCGTTCATTAGAATTACACGATGGATAGGGGGAAAGAATGCTGTCGCCTGTCACCAATCAATACAACCGTAACGTATGTTACTGTGTTAATGTATGTGAAATTGGTACCTATTTATGATATTTATTAATAGTACTCAGATAATAATACTGAAATAAACACAAATAAATGATAAACCCATCATTATTGTTAAATTAGCCAATAGTAATATTTTTATACCATTAGCAATATATTAATATTAAATAACAACGAATAAAAATTTTAAAAATTCAATTGTAATTAAAACCAAAAAGTATGTCCTCGAATAATTTATTTAAATATCTAGATACGTAAATTGTTTATCTAAGATAATTTCTTAAGATAGTTGTCAACAGTTTATTTATATTTATCTAGATAAGATAAAGATAATTTAAAAATTTATCTAGATAAATTATCTAGATAATCCCAACACTGTATATAACTGACTGACTTTTCAAAAACAAAATGCATCCACAAAATATCTCAATTAACTGTTTTTATCTCACCCATTAAATATATATGTATGTATATACATATATACCTATCGCTTATCTAGTAGATATTAACGGAAAATTTCGGATTATATATATTATTATTTATAACCTACCTATACACAAGTGGCCTGACGGTTAACCGAGAAAGACGGTTATTCGGGAGACGGATAATCGAAGTTCTACTGTATCATATTACACGTATCGATCGAAACGGAACAAACGCCGATTCGTGATCACATCGGTCGTGGGTACATAATTTTCGTCGGCCGCAGTGTCTATGACGATTTGTTTGTCCGGACGATAAACCCTCCCTCTCCCTTCGCACCGAAGAGACCCATGATACATATTATAGTTACATGACAATTTATAATCCTTGCGAACGTTACGTTAAGTTAAAACTACATCGTGTACCTCGTATTATTTATATGTACGGCATTCGGGCCAGACTTGTTGACAACTATATTATACCCTTTGTCCGCGTCAAACGTGTTGGAGCACATGTGTACGAAATACGAGTGCGATGTAACACATTATTAGTTGACGCGTCGCGACAGTGCAGTCGGTCCAAAGACGAGGAAAATAAATCGTATAGGGCGAAGGATTTTATTTTTTTTTTCAAAGATATACGTATAAAGTTAAGACATTTACAAGGACAGTCCTCGTATAATTATATCCTAACGGAAACTTAGAGGACTTATACGTTAAACGCTTGTTCGGTTAAGGCTTAATCGTTAAGCTATTGATTTGACGGCGGGAACTGAAAAAAAAACCACCTACCAGTTAGTCATTGACATTCTAAATACGTATTTAGTTTTTTATTACGAAAAAAAAGAACCATCGAAAAACTACCACGACAGCCTTGTCATTTACTTAAAAATAATTCCTACTTCACCATTATCGAGTGTTTCGCAGTTGGATTTACATAAATATTAAAATTTTAATTTACTATGAGATACTTATCTACTAATAAAAGTGCAACGTACAAAACAATAATAACACGAAAAGGATGCTTGATCAATTGTACGATATGTAATATGTAATAAAATGAATTAAAATAATTAGGACGTCAAATACCGAGTTTTAAATGTCAGTAAAGACATTATTTGCTACCAACATAAGGTCTCGCGAATAAAAATGTAAGTTTCGAAAATCAAAATTGACCTTCGCAATTTAATTATGCTTGGACTAAATGTTGTGTGTCACCCCAGTTGAGTCCGATCGTATGCGGTCACAGCTCAACCAAGTTTGATTATAATTACAATAGCTACTCTGTCATGGGTGAGAGAGAGGCAAGACGGGACACTTGATAATAGTGTAATCATATACATAAAGGAGGGGAAAAATGTATAAAACTGCTTGGACGATTTAGAATACAACCATTCCCCATTATCGAAAAATTACGTTTCAATAACAATTTGTGGTCAAATCATACGTATAAAGCAATTATGTATAACACACACAAGCGATATAAATTTACTGCAACTCTACATAATCCGGACCAGTGGCGTAATAACGTTGTGGTGAACTAGGCCTACTCCAAGGGCGCGAGAATTTCACTGAAATGTATTTTTGTTTAACTTTATTGATGTTAAAATTACAGAATTTTAGAAGTTTGCCTGTAATGTTAGTGAAACTTTCTATGCCACTGTTCGAGGACTGTCACTAATCTAAATCAGTATATTTATTTTTTATTGAATATTGAGTTTAATTTTTTATCGTTCAGATGCTATATAAGCGTAACATCCTAGATTTCTACACGAGAGTCCCAAAACACTAAATAATTACAATAATATTTTAGTTAAATGACATATAATTTATCAAAATTGCATAGCACAATTGTAGTAGATTTTTTACTTGGATTTAAATTAGCGAAAAACGCAGTAAGTATTGATACACTCGTAATTTATTTATTAATGGAACACTGATTAAATGGTATATTATAATATTATATGCGAAAAATATTATCTATATTTAATTTAATATTTTAATACTAAGTTAACGCCAATAGACAAAAAACACTTGCAAAAAAAACGTAAATTTAATAGTTATTTCAGTAGGTTTGACGCTAGTATAAATATATAACATACATGATTTCCTATTTTCTGGTTTTTATTTTAGTTTCAAATATTAATTATTTTATGTATAAATATAAATAAATAATTTTATCGCAAGTAATAAAATATTCAAGTTGATGTAATAACCTCAGTGTTATTTATTTACTCGTTTAAATGAATTTTAAAAGTACATAAAGCTAACAATATTTTTCACATTTATCTCAATTCAAAGCTGTATAATAGTAAAAATATCTGCAGATAATGTTTGTAACGTCATTTATGGGGTTAGATGAATAATTGAGAATTTCAATGAATCATTATTTTACTTGTTTGTGACTGACACGAGACAATGTGCTACCATTTTTATTATGTTCAGTTACAAAGAGAAACATAAAACTGCATCAATTTTAATCCACAGTCAGGAAATACAATATAATTTTACGTTAACCATTTTCTTCTTTTTTTTTTTTTTGTTTTATATATTAATAACGACATATAAACAGCCCACAGTGTATGTTGTCTCTGATGAAAAAAAAAAATAACAGTTGACATTGTAATTAAATAACTAAAAAAATAATTATACAATACTCATAACTCATTTATGCTTTATTGTGTTGACTCGAAAGACTGTATAAAGACTTAGGGGATATATTATTGTAACATATTATAGTAGCATATACTAAAACCCTAACTTCAATGAAATATATTCGGTGATTATTTCATCAATAACAAAAACTAAGTATCAAATAAAGTAGAAGTATACATGTTATGCTTTTGTATAAAAAAAAAAGTTTATAATTCCGTTTCACGAAGATATCATGACAATAATAACAATATAAATAATACAATAACACACACGTATAATAACTTTGAATATTTAATTAGAATGTTAATCACATAATCGTATTTAATTAACATAAGATTACATTTTATAAATATTGGTATAAAATATTGTTAGCTAATTTCAGAGCTTATGTACAAACTCTTAAATATTTAACAGGCATGCATGTATATATATAAAAAAACAAATAATTATATAAACATATTGTTTTAATCGTTATTACAACGAATATTATATCATACAGTAACATCAGATATAATTGAACTTTTGCGGTCAATAAACGCTTCACTGTTTCTCGACGTTCTCATGATTTTACCGCTTGTTATAAGTCGCCCGAATCCTTCTTGATGAGCAAAAGCGTACCCTGATCGAATGGAACGTCGCTTATGCCTTATAGACGAAGTTGGTCTTGTCTCTGATTCTGACACTTGTCTTCTGAAAATTAACGTTGTTGTAGATATTTTTAAGTCATTAATAGGTATACTATAGCATTATATGGGACTGAAGCATAGTTAACTCTGAAAGCTGATAGAAAAAGAATATAAGTATTCGAAACTTGACCAAAGACGTTAAAAACATTGTGGATAGAACGAATTTTAAATGAAGATGTATATCATAATTCAAAGAATAAAGGAAATTAAGTATATGTATATACAACGACCAGAGAGAGAGAGAAGAAAAATAAATAAATGGATAGGACACATTTTAATACATGGGTAATACATATAATTGAAGAAAAAGAGGAAGACCAAGAAATTCCTTTATAAAGCAGATTATTCTAAAATTAAAAAAATGATCCAATAAAGAATTAAAGGAAATTGCTATGGTTGAACAGAATTTAATTAATTTACGAATTGAATAAAATATAAAATAAATAAAGAACACCACTAAGGCAAGTGATTTACTTTTGTTTCATCTGCAGCACACGAAGTTTGTCGGTAAGCGTAGGTTTCATCTCCAAGCAGTACAATCGCCAAGCTACCACAGGACCGACGATCACGACCACCACTAGAATGTTGACCAGCCAAAACGTCGGCTGTTTGATTGCCTATATTGAATGACGCAATACGTCGAACACGTTATTAATACGTACTGGTGACAGTTAATTAATACTACAAAACCAGTTTTGTATTGAAAAACAATAATTAGTACGCACCATTGCTAAGGAGCCAACATAGTTTCCGCCTATGAGATAGTTATAGATCCATTCGGCTATGAAGAACATCGCTATAGATCCCCAGATGACTACGTGATTGATAGAAGTCCAGTAACATGTATCCAAAGCCACCTGTAGTACACACGTTACGTTATCGTGTTCAATATGTTTTTATTCGCACAAACGCTTTACCTGTGCCGTCATAGCCGTGACCAGGATTATTTCGACGACTTCAGCCATATACATGTGGTCCAAGACATTTAACCCGTTCGAGGTCATGCCGTAATAATAGGCGCCTGAAAAAAAACACTGTACAATTATCGCGACGGACGGTTGTCGGTTAGGTGATAATAATTGATGATTGAATGTATAGTAATACCATAAGGTACGAAAAAAATCACTATTGAAGCATACGTTCCAAGAGCGGCGCACTTGAAGAATTCTTTGGCGTTGAAAAATATGTTTCGGATTCCCGGAGTGTAAAGTTTCGGGTACATTATGCTTTTACGGTCGTTGACGTCCTGGTCCAGGGCACCGATAGCCAGCACCGGCAGAGCGGTGTAGAACATATTGTACACGGATATATAAAATGGGTCGAAGATTGTCTGAGAACAATAATCAATCGATAAGCCGACGAGCAGACATGTGTCGGAACGTGACGCGATGAACCGGATCAGCAAGACTCTCACCTGGGCGCTGAAACCGCAGAAGAACCCGAACCAGATGTGACAGAGAGTGAACGCGACATTTTTGTAGAAAAAATATCGCAAGAATTTACACATCCTGTAGTATGACCATCTGCCGTGCACCAGCAGCAATCTCTCCAGAAACCGAAACTGTCCCAGCGAATAGTCCGAGGCCAGCGTGGCTTGATTGCCCTCCTGACCGGTGATTCCGACACCGATGTGAGCTTCTTTTATCATCGACACGTCGTTGGCGCCGTCGCCGATAGCCAACGTGACGGCTTTCTTGTACTTTTTGATCAGCTGCACCACCATTGCTTTTTGATGGGGCGTCACCCGACAACAGATCACCGCTTTGCCTAAACGTATACACATGCGTGTTCACGCATAAATAATTGTTGAACCAGGGGCGTATTTAGCCTTACTTCTAAGAGGGGGGTGACGGGTGACTAACATTTTTTCTTTAATTCAGGCTCAAAATGTACAAGTAAAATGTTTGGTAATATTTAAATCAGGTGAATCCTTAATATTCGGGGTTTTTTTTTTAATCTAATACGGGATCCACTTAGAATCGATTTTGTGTAGTTCTTTTTTAACACCTGTCTGTGTTTTGAAAGTTACGCTTGTGCTTTATTTGATTTTTCATTAAGTATAGACCCGACAAAAAGCCCAATTCAGTATTCACAGCCACGCGTAATTTGATTTCGTTATAAAATGATCCACCATAAAAAAATTTGAAATGTGTATCTCACATAAAATCAATTCCTTAAATACGGATTCAGGGGGGAGGCGATCAGGCCTTCGCCCCTCGCCCATGCGTTGAACCGACATCGGCCACGGATTCGCGCAATCGCCGTAAACAAATTTACTCGAACTTACACTTTGCGCACAGTTCTACAAACTTTTTCTCAAGCTCAGTATGTAAAGCGTGCACTAACGAATGGCCGTTGATGACTAACGCATACATCTTGTCGTCGTCGTCATCATGGTCGTTCATGTTAACATTTTCCGGTTCGCTGAAATATTTATAACGAATCACAGATTATACGTAGGCAATTAATACCGTTTTTACAGTCCTATCCACTAACCTAAATCTTACGACACTCGTAGCCATACTATTTCTTCTCGACCGTTGACTATCGGGAACACCTAACAGTATATCAATACACTCGTTGAGCTGACTTTCGACTTGGTCCTGAGTGTGGCCATCCACTACCCACAGTACCATATCGTCGGACAGAAGTTGACACGAAAATCCAATGTTTATAGCAGTTTCTAAAAACAGTGACACGTGGTTCACAAGTGCAATATTGTACAATTGTATGTTTGAAGAACAGAAATATTATTTAAACATAACCGATTCGATACACTCTATGAACGTAACAATATTTGAAAAACGCTGTAAAAATGTTTTTGGTGAACTAAACGATTATGACAGCATTAAAACGGTGGTATAGCCATAAATTATATAATATGTGAAGGGAAAAGAACACGTAAAAATATAAAAACGAATACAATTTCTGTAGGAACTTTTGAAGTATTCAAAAATTTCAATTTTTATATTCAAAATGTCTTAAATCTAATTGAACCAAGAAAGCTATATTTCATGACCACTGAAAAAATGCATTTTTCACTTGCGCTTAAATCTACTCTCATACTTATTCAACAAATCAATTCCAAATGTATAATTGCACACGCACCTTGTTTGTCTCCGGTGAGCATCCAAATATACATGCCAGCCAACAGCAAATTAGCTATAGTCTTAGGAACGGCGTCTTGTAATTTATCCTCGATAGCGGTGACACCTGTAGGAAACGAATAAATCGCACTTCAAAACCAGGGACTGTTACATTTAAGTTTTTACGGTTCTGGTTCCAGTTCTCAATTATTTTATTTAAAGGTTCGGATTCGGGTTCCGGTTATTGAAAAATACAAAATTTGGTTCCGATTCGGTTCTGATTCCCAATATTTTAAGGGTTCTTGGGTTCCAGAACCGGTTCTTTTGGGTTCGGTTCCAGCCCCTGTTCAAACGTTAACGATTCCCGATTGACAAATACGTGTGTAATAAATAAGATCGGACGAACTGTATTTTTTTACCGATCAGTTTTAGATGTGTTTCGATTTCGTCGTAGACGCTGTCGAGCCTCTGCTCCCTTTCGGTGCGCGCAGCTGCAGCGGCCGCGTACTTGAGTTTCCATGACTCGAAGAACTCGTCATCGATGTCCCTGACCGCGCAACAAAGCGTGCGCAACCCGTCTCCTGCGAAATCCTGCACCAACGTACCGCCCATTACTATCGTGTCACGAAATTCATAACAACAGTTAACGGTAGTCACACACCATCAGATGTTGCATAGACGCGATTTTTGACTCTTCGTTACCCGGCTCCAGGCGTTCGAATATTACGCTGTCGGCGCCCTTGCAGTACAACCGTATCCTGCCGTTTTCTCTGAAGACCACGGACATGCGGCGCCTCATGTTGTTGAAGTCAAGAATGCACAACAGCTCGAGCACTCGGGTCTCGCCCATGACGTCGATCGTCACCGTGTTCGGAGTTCGCTCCTTGAACACGACACCGAAATTCCTGGCCGCAGATACCAGGGCCGATTCGTCCGGCGACTGGGCTTGGTATTTCAATTCGCCTACAACCATTAAACACATTCATAAATAAATGCACCCGGCAGACCGTTCGTCGACTGTTGGTTTCCGAATGGAAAACAAACCGCTCACCGTTTTTCCAGCTGGGCATAACCGTATGGCACAAGGCCAACACTTTGAAGAACGTCAGAGCTAGATTTTCGGATCCGTCGGCGTTCTGGTGCCGGACGGCATCCACCAGGCTTTGGTCGTACCACAGGAATTCCGATTCGTATTGGGGATTCCACGAGAAATCGACCGGTGGAGGTCCGACCTGTGCGAAAAACCACAGCTCACTTAATTATCCAACGATCCCATTGTACCGTTACCGCGTTCTAAGTAACGGCGTCGTATATACCAAGTGCATCGTGGAATCTATAATTACTCTTCGGGCACCTCTCTCTAATTTGTCGTAGTGCTTGTTATCGTAACTTCTGATGATTGCGGAAGGCGTCTGTTTATCCGTGTGGTTCTAACGTACGGACACAAATAATGTAAACAAACACAGAAAGCTCAGACAGTAACAATGGACAGTACTTCATGTGACCAACAGTTACTTATTTATCTTATAGCCAACCATAATCATGGTTTACCTTGATCACTTCGTCGGATTTCCCGTACGCGACCTCGTCTTGATTCCCGTAAACGATGCAATTGATCGAGCACTTGTTGAACGTCATGATGTTCTAATCGGAAAAAAAATGTATAGGTACAATACGCATTAATGATTTATTTTCGAGCGGACGTTACTTTCGTCTCTTTTATTTTACCTTTGTCATCGTTCCGGTCTTATCCGAAAATATGTATTGGATCTGTCCGAGTTCTTCGTTCAGCGTCGTAGTTCTAGCTCTGGCCGCAGTCCCGGACTGTTTGTCGTACATCTTTTGATCCCAGTTTATGAAAAAGCTCTGCACGAAACGTACTACTTCAACACTGCCGAGCGTACGAACAACACAATCAGACGATATGAACAACGTTTGTTGTGCTGCTGTTGCAGCGGACAACAAATCAACAATGCGCTACGTTGCGTTACAAACCTCACGTATAAAGAAATTGGCACTAATGTGTTGAGAACGATGGCGTATGAAAAAAATACCAATGTCCCAATGGTAATTGACCCGGTCAACCTATCGGGTGGCACCAGCGAGTCCCAAGGTAAGTACATTTGGAAATCCCAACCAGTTTTGTATTCCCAAAAAACGGATCCGATCATGCAAGACAAACATAATAGAAAAAGAAACAACACGATCTGAAACAGAAATTTACCACGCGCATAGACATTAGCTATCAGGTATTGCGAATGAAATGCCGCGCTACGTGATTACCCCGAAAATGAGAAAGTTGAGCAGCTTATCGATGTTCGTGCGCTTGAATTTTGACTTTCCTGAATTTTGCATGAGCTTTGTATCTTTTCCAGCAAAGATCACCATGCCATAACACCATTCTGTATTTTTCAGAACGCATCCTCTTAGGATAATATGATCGTTGTTTAAGACCAATCTAGAATGAATATATAATACAAAATACATTTTTCACTGGGCACCGATGAAAAAAATCAAAAAAAAAAAATCCACTTTTGTATTAATAATAATTAATGTAATAAATGTACGTTTGAGGTTGAAAAAAAATAATTGTGAATCATTCACGATGAAAATGAAAAAAAATAAAAATATATCAAAAATTATTAGGATCATTGAGTATTTAATGATTACATACTCTTTTTTATTCCACCGCAAAACGCCGTGAAACGTATTGAGCAAATTATTTGGTGTTTCACACCGAATGAAGCCGTCAAAGTTCACAACTTCGTGAGCAAGATCTCCCAGTTCGGCCAAACATTGGCGGCACTTGAGATTGGTTTCGCTGAAAAGAAAAAAATCAAAATTAACATTACGATCACTTCTCCCTCCATTTGTTTACGAGCAAACGTATCACATAAAATACGTAATTTATACGTTATTTATTAGTTGATTCGCTTACTACGAACGTATTATTATTTTATTTCCTGAAAAACACTGGTTGAACCTGACTGAGACGTATCTTGTGCACGGTTTATTGCAATAGTTATTAAAATGTACCATGTGCGCCTAGAGAAATGTACGTTCAAACGTATGGTGGCGCGCACAATACGACGATGAACGTTGAAATCGTACGAAACGACTTTCCGGCACAAATCATTTGATTTACATTAATTTAATATTTTTCATTTATTTTAGTTTACATTTGTTTGCCGACACTGCATTTGCTTACCCGTCTAGTTCCGCGGTTTCGATGAAACACAGTCCGTTCGGTTCGCTCGTAGAGAGCAACAGCACGTCGGCGGCCACGAACTGCCCGTCTTCCATCAAAATCATGTCTCCGACATGCACGTCCTTCCACTTGACGTCCACCACTCTACCGTTCCTGACGGTTTTCGATATACGGTTGTTCACCAGATCGTCGCTGACGTGCCTTTGCTAAAACGCCCACCACGGGTGCATTAAAAAAAAAGAAATGTTTACTGTTACACGGGTAATAGTAAGGGATGGTAAAATTTGTCCCAACCTCGATATATCTAAAAGATAAATATCGATTAGGTGATATTTCTCAAAAACATTTTCAGTTTAATTACTGAACATAGATGGTGTTATTGAAATGAAAAATCTTAATATCTTCTACCCTGTGACGGTCTAGCCTAGTACCATAACTTATAAAACAGTGAAATACCAATTAATATCAGTGCAAAATGAATTCACTCGAATTATGTGTTTACATAAACGGAACATTGTTGTCGATTTGACTCACTTGTTAATTTAAAACTGCCGAGTACTATATCCTCATTTAATACTGAATAACCACTAAAAAACCACTTCAACATGATCTCTACCTTATTCTTGATTTAAAAATAGAATACTGACTAAAAATATCGATATGATGATATATTATCTTGAAAATATCAATATTATGATATTATCGAAAGTAAAATATGGATATAAAAATATATCTATGTATCTTTGCCATCCCTTCTGATAGTAGTATCCTATCCCGCTAATCGATACTTACGTAATCGTCGTATGCATCCTTGATAGCAGTAATCATGAGCACGCCGACCAACGGTATTGAAGTCGTGATGGGCGTCAGCGACGAGATTATCGATATCATCTGCAGCATCATGAGGCATAAGAAGTAGAAATTGGCTAGCCGTTGGAATTGTTCGAATAAATTCAGCGGTAAGAACGTTAAAAGAGTGTACTTCGATGTTTTTATGTAATTCGTCTGAAAAAATCGTATTTAAAAACATACGAATCTTATAGGTATATTTATTTGGCGTATACTAAATGCACCACCCTTACACTTACCGCGTAATTGAACTGAGCATTGTAATTCGCATTGTTTGCTTTGATGAAGCGTTCTTTTTCTGAAATCGAATATTTGATCAATGATTATTTACTATATCATATAGTATTAATTGCTTAAAATTACAGGCGTACTCAAAAACCTTTGTTATTTAATCATCAAGGAACAAAATGTATAATATCATACTTATGATCTATCGAAAAATAAACACTAAATCAACTAACCGTTAATTTACTATTTTAGATTTATGATAAACATGAGGATTAAAATATTAATGATACATTTATATTTATATAATTTATTGTATATTATTATGTATATAAAAATGACAACTGGCTAACTAAAATGAACTATAAATTAATTATAATTTTTAAGGATGTAAGAACTTTTGACAAGGGACGTCACGGGTTGTTACTTCGAGCCACCAATTGTTGAAAATGTCGTTTTAAAAACCTTTTCTATAAAATTAATTAGTTTTTAATGATTATTTTTTTTTTTTTTGGTACTTATGTAATTAAATTTAATAAATGTTATAATACAATGTAAGAATACATTTCTTACAATTTGGAAACACTTTATAAAAATCTTGACGCACAATATATAAAAAACAAAACTCTAGAAAAAATCGACACTTACAGGTAAGTTCCAAAAATATTTGTAGAGGGATTAAAATTGCAAATTAAAATGTATTTCTCGCTTTTGTCCAGAATATAAAAAATAAAACGACATAGGTAAATAGTTATCAATAAATTCCAAAATTCACGTACAGACTATTAAAGAAAACTCAATGGATCTCATCAATAAGAACTCTACGTTAACAATAAAATTTTTATTTTTATTATTTTTAACAATTATAACGGGGTTGTATATTTCGCTTCACCCCCCAATAGATAAATAAGTCCGATCCAACACGATTGGGCAATTTTTCCTTTTTAGACCCGACTAATCACACCACAATTGCGCAAAAAATTTGTAACACGATTGCGTCCTGATCCCTTTTTACCTGATAAAATCATAACACCATTGCGCACTAAATTATATGTATATATACTATGTATAATAATTTATGTACAACATAAAATAATGTATACAATACATACTTTCTATAATGTGCATACACATGCACACAAATTATTAAATCACAAAATGCACTTTTTCAAAATCGAAATGAAAAGTTGATTGAGCTAATGATAGTTATAATAAAAAAATTGACTAATGACTATCAGTATACAAAAAAAAAAACAATTTCAATAAAAAAAATGTCGTCTATTGACCTTATCAGTATATACATTTACCATAAATGTAATTTAGAAAAAAAAACAATTTTAAACCAAGCCAACGATGATAATTTGTTGACAGTCCTACGCCTGTAATAATTAGGAAGGAAAATTGTAAATTAATAGTTAATAAGTTTGAGTGCATGTATATGAATATTATATGTAGAAAGTATATAATTATATAATTATATGTATTGTATACATTATTTTATGTTGTACATAAATTATTATACCTACATAGTATATATACATATTATTTGGTGCGCAATGGTGTTGTGATTTTAACAGGTAAAAAGGGATCGAGACGCAATCGTAGTGTAATTAGTAGGGCAAAAAAGAGAAAAATTGCGCAATCGTGTTTCAGCCAAATAGTCGATCTATAGTCAACCACCGAACCGTTATCCATCGCCTTATGCGATCACACAACTTTAACGCAAATTCAAACAATAAAAATATTTTTTATTCTTTAACTAAGTCAATAATATTTATAATAATAGTTCAACTCGGTGATTGTAAGCTGCGCCCGAGGTTCAAGTAAATATAAAATTAAACATGTAAACTGAGCACTAATAAAATTTAAAATTAATAGCTTTAAATTTTTGCAAAATCAAGTAAACAAAATTACAAAATAATCTCTAACTTGTTCGTAACAGCCATGTAGTATGAATAAATAATTGATAAAATAACACAGACAATTAAAAAATTCATATAATTTTAAAAAGTACAATATTATGACAAATAAATACATATTGATACATACAATTGGTGTTTCACCGCTATTATATTTACTATAATTTTTATATGATAATTTTTTACTTTTCTGTTTTTTAAACAATTTCATATTTAAAAGGTAGATTTATACTATTTAATTTAAGGTATGATTCTATTTGAAACCAATTTTATATAAACATAAAAATTTTAATTAATTTTACAAACCTTAGAATTTGAAATTTCAAGTAAAATGTATTCGACTATCGTAACTTCACTAATTATTAAATCAATTTAATTCACGACGGGTGCTAGTAGACTGACACCGCATACTCGTATAGTGTTCACTATAAATAATTAATAGTGATTCGATAACGTTTTTGGACAACACTAATATTTCTGTGGTATTATTGATTCGCACGCTATTTACAATCACATTTTACAACAATAATAATAACTGATGGACGCAGTTTACATAATGTGTGTAAGGATATATTATGGATATTTTATATCCATTTTGAATTAGATTATAATTGGGGCGAAATTTACACGAAAAATGTTTATTTGGCCGCAGCTTACGTATACCCGTTTAGCCACTTGAAAACTAATACATACGGTCGAGCGCTACGAACAAACATAATAACAATGTGCGAAACACTAAAACCCTTTTGTATACTAAAAAACACATTATTCCTAATCGAAATAAATTCTAATTGGAATAAAACGTTCAAAACATAAAAGCATCCATTTGTATTGTCTTTTAGTTTTCATTAGCATTTCGGTTGCTTGAAATTACAGGGGTTTCGACGATAAACGATGCTTTAACAATACATGAGTATTCGGATAGGTATAGGAAAAATGAAACGTCGATAAACCATTTGAATATTTTAATTTTAAAAACCAAGTTGATATCGGAAACCTTATTATTTATAGATCCCAACATTATGATATTACTATTATAGATATATACTTATAATAATTTATTATGTCACCTAACCAAAAACCTATCATAGTCTACAACGACCTTTGAAGGATCCGAGAAAAATATAATATTATATAACTATGTCGATAAGTTTCTATTATATATGCAACTCTCAAGAAATAAACGCGAAACGCGCTTGGCTAATGTCAAAATTTCGGACTTCAGCCAACAAAAACAAATGGATAATCTTAACACTAGCAAATAAAACCAACATTATCCAACCGTTATTGGCTAATGACTAAATAACATTAGCCATAGATGAATTCAAAATTTAAAACTATTTACAATAATAATACAATATTTTGAAATTGTAATTTTTAATGAATATTGATATGTTGAGTAGTTGTATACAGGTGAACCGTGCACGTAATAAGTAAAATATTTTCAGTAATATAAATATTGTATACAGTTGTGAGCATTTTTATACTATTTTAAAATTGATATTGATCGCAAAATTGATATACATGCGGTTGCATACAATACTGTGTGCTCGATAGAGACAGTCCATAATAATCTACCGTATTACCGACTCAAGTTTGTAAGTAGTTAAGATACCAGCTTGTAGTACTTTGTAGGTATATCTTGTTTTCAAGACTAGGAGTTAATAAGTTAAAAGTTAAGTTAAATTAACTTATTAACTTAAATTATTTCATTACTTATAAATTAACTTAACTTATTTCCTTAAAAATTAACTTGAAATTAATGTATTATTTTTCGTTTATCCTTATTAAGTTAATTTTGATTTTCAAGACCAGAAAAATATTTTTGTAAAATATCGCATTCGATAATAAGTTCATGGAATTTAAAAAAATATAAAAATAAAAATTTCGAAGAATTTTTAGATGAGACCATAATATATATCTCGGTATTAACTATTGATAAGGGTCCCACCGTTCTCGGGAAAAGTATTCAACCGTCTTCAAACTATTGAGTAAAAATAGTCACGCCATCCATGAATTACATTACTATTGTCATGAAAAGTGGTCGTAAATCCTTGTAATAAAAATAGTTACACATTATTATTGACTAAATAATTCTTAATAATAATTGTACTCTATTATTATTAAAATTATTCCATAATCTATGATATTATTGAATATTATTGAATAAGAGAAGAAATTAAAACATTTTTGTATGACTTAAACCGTTTAATTATTTGTATGGATAATGTTATTTAGATATTAGCCAAACGCAGTGGCTAAACTTGTGATTAGAACGTAACATATATATACTCGGGTTTCAGAAATGAATGAAATGAATTATTATTTATTCAATACGTAAAAGCTTTACACAATTTAAACGAGAATGCCATCGTACCTGAACATCAGCCATGCAACTTCTATTATTTTCTATACTTTTGGAAAATCATTTAATATTAGCAATCTAAAAATGTATAACGAAACACACAAATACCAGATAGTGCAACGAAACCTCTTTGGAAGAGCACAAACTTTAACAGTGGACACTTGTATTGGTCAATCCGGAATCTTTAGGTTAGTTGAGTACAGTGGCGGCGCCAGGATTTTTTGCTAGGTAGGGCCAATGGGAGGCCAACCATTATAAGATAAGGCCAACAAAAATGAGATTTCAAAAAAGATGAATACCATTATTTAATATTTTCTGTTTATGAAATATGACTATTATAGTAATTAAATAATAATTGTATTTTTATGATCATAAAATATCGAAAATCAATCACCAAAATAAAAATTATTTATATATTTTTTAACTAACACCTTTTAATAACTTAAGGCGCGCATCTAAAAAAAAATCAGAAGAAGAATGCTAAACACTAGACTTCGCCCGATGCGCCGAATTTTAAAATCGAAATTTTCTATTAACAACAAATCGTCAACACACTATTAAAGATCTATCAAGACTTGTACTATTCAAGTATGGGATTGTGCTAAGCCTTCCCAAGTATAAAGTATCCTAGCCTTTCAGTCAATATCCATTCAGCATACAATTTCTGCAACATGGTATGACTAAAAACCTTACACCAAATAGCAAATTAAAAATCACAGCAGAAAATTATTGTGAAAGATTTCATGACAAATGAAATGATTATGAAAGATTTCACGACAAATTAATAAC